CGTCTAATCTAGCGAGGAAAACTTTGATCAAGAGGTTTTGTTCTTTCTGTGATTCCCACAGATGGCGCCAATTGTGCGAGCACGAAATAATTCTTCTCGTATAATCCTGTTGATCAAGTTTGCGCTCCTCCAAACGTCGTCACTTTACTACCTGAAAACACAAACGTGAGCTAACCGGTGAGTGTGTGCCGGAAACCCCTCCGATGCCTAAGTCAGCACAATAGACAATAGACACAAAAGCTCTGTGAATTTAGGAACCAAAATTCTATTACCTCTCCGTAGGTGATGTTGTGAGCTTTTATAGGTTTCGTGTGGCACAATCCTAGTAGAACTCTTATTCCTCCATGCAGAGTCCTCCTAGGAATCATATTCCAGAAAGATAATGCTTATCCTTCAACACCCCCCTCACTGCTTAAACCAAGTGAGATGGTTTTACCTCGGTGGTGTGACAAAACGACCGAGCTATCATAGCCATGCTAAACTGGCTGAAATGACCGAGCTTTAACTAGCTCGGTTCTTCCCTTCACTGCGTGTACCTCGGGTTCTCCTGCTAAAACCGTGCTAACTATAACGAGCTTGGACCGAGCTAATCCGTAGCAAGGTCCTAAGGAAAGCTAAAAATACCTTGGCTCAGAAGGGTATGACCGAGCTAACTCCTATCACTCTGACCGGGGTGACCGAGCTAATTATAAGGCTCTTTTGGACCGGGTTAACTTACAAGGCCCTTTACTCAGCCCTTTCTTACTGCGGTCCACAGAACGGCCCATTATCCAGCTCGGCCCAATTTACTTATAAATTACCCTCTCAGGTATGATGAAAAAAATATCATGAAAATGATTATGAAAGATTCTTCATCTTTAGATTACACACACAATAAAACACTACACACTAATCAAAAGATGAAAAATTTTCATAATGTATTTCATAATATTTTTTTCGTAATCCCTAATATTATTCGGATTAAAATACCCTCAAAGTAATAAAAAAAAATTCAAAAAAAAGAACCTATGCAAACAAAAAAACCAGCACAACCATCTGCAACAAGTCCACGCGGGGCGTTGCAGGGCTGGCTTAGGTACCTGAAAAGACGATTTTGCCTTTCAAAATTTTTTAAACAAGTGCAATCATTCAATCATCAAGGCTATTTTTGTCATTTCTCTTCTCATATCATTTTAAACATATTTTTCAATGTAATAATTAAACAAAAAATTTAACTCATTTTTTAAAAATTAAAAATTAAAATAGCTTACTAAAATAACTAAATAGTCAAAAAAAAGTAGTCACTCTCCAAACATCCCTAAGAGCATCTCCAACGATTCACCAATTTTTTCATCAAATCTGAGAAAAAAAAGACAACTTCCTCAATCTGATATCAGCCGCTCCAACGGTTGTACTGTAACTTGCATCAAAAGGTACGGGACGTCCAACTAGACGACCGGTCGGTCGATTGGACAAGACAACTAAATTTTTTTTCCCTCTATTTTTGTTTCCCGATTCATTTTCCATTTCTTTTTCTTCCATTAAATCTTTTCCATTTTTTTGTACCTCCAATAATGATTTCCTTCAAAAAATTGATATAAACACATTAATCTATGTACCATATACTAGAAAAGAGGTACGTTATATCTGCAACCAACCAGAACTGAAACTAGAGCATAATGAGTATCTCAAATTCTTACATGTTCACTTCATTTTCATCCTCTTCTTCTTTCTCATCCTCTGATGATGAGTCTAATGATGAAAAAATGGTCACACTTTTAGGGGTTTATGAAATAAATAATGCTACTATGATTCAGATGTTGTAATCAACTAATTGATCAAAGAAAAGAGGTGGTTCTGTTGTAGGACATAATTACATACGTCACGATCGATGGAAGGGTCATAAGCGATTGTTTGCAGATTTTTTTGCGGCAAATCCAGTTTATCTACTTGCAACATTTCGAAAACGTTTTCAAATGCGTCATCCTCTATATCTGCGAATTTTGAATGCCATTGAAGCACACAATCCATATTTTGTTCAAAAACAAGATAAAGCTCATATCCTTAGATCGTCTCCCCTGCAAAAGATGACTGCAACAATGAGAATATTGTCATATAGAATGGTAGCAGATGCAGTTGACGATTATGTACATATTGGGGAAAGCACTGCAATTAAAAGTTTGCAACACTTTTGCAATTCAGTAATTGAAATCTTTGGATCAGAATACTTAAGATCTCGAACAACAACTGATATTGCTAGATTACTAACTGTTGGAAAGGTTTGTGGGTTCCCAGGTATGTTGAGAAGTTTATATTGCATGCATTGGGAGTGGAAAAATTGTCCAACGGCATGGCAAGGTCAATATGTAGGCCATCAGAAAAAGCCAACCATCATTCTTGAAACAGTGGCTTCATATGACTTGTGGATTTGACATACATTTTTTGGAATGCCTGGATCACACAATGACTTGAATGTGTTGGATCGATTGCCCTTATTTTCTGATCTTGCCCAAGGTATAGCTCCCCTTGTCCATTACACTATTAATGGGCACAGTTATAATATAGGTTACTACCTTGCTGATGGTATATACCCTTAATGGGCAATCCTGGTTCAAACAATCTCTTCTCCCCAAGGAGCAAAGAAGCAACATTTTGCAATGATGCAAGAATCAACAAGAAAGGATATAGAGCGGGCATTTGGAGTTCTCCAATCTCGATTTGCAATTATAGGTAGTGCCGTACGTTTTTGGAATCCGAAAATGCTTGGGAACATAATGAAGAGTTGTGTTATATTATACAATATGATTGTTAAAGATGAGAGAGAGGAGCATCTTGATTTCGATTATGATATTTTATCAACCAACTCACCAGTAGTACTAACAATGACTTCTAATCATTTATGTTTCGTCATTTAGATATTAGAGATAAAAATGCATATCATGTCCTCCACAATGATTTAATAGAACATATGTGGCATGACAGATCAACGACGAGACAAAGAAATACGATTTCGATTTGATTCACCGCTCAATTATGAATTAAAATAAACGAGTACTCGTTCCCAAAATATGGCCATGGTATAACTATTACCAATAATGGGATCTTGAGAGACTGTCAACCGAGATCTACATAAAGTTTCATTTTCTATAATTGCGAATGCTTTGCCATGAGAAACACGAGAAGTTTTCGAAATAAAATGAATATCAGTGTGCTGCTCTGAAGTTTGTGATTCCTCAAACATTTCAAAATCTTTCATAATTTGAAGAAAATTCAGTATGATACAATATCCAACTCAGACAGTGAAATATATTGTAATGATATACACTAAAGCTGAGAAAGAGATAATATACATTGAAACTCACAAAGAAAATAAAAATTGTAATGATATTTTCAAACTGAAACTCACAAAGAAATATAGAAATTATAATGATATAGTGAAATGAAAAGATTGGTATATTTTATAGATCACAGCAACAGTAACTTTGTCAAATACTCTGCAACACCAACGGTAACTTATTGGAGCTGCAACTGTTGAACGGTTAATTTAAATTTAAATTGAAATCTATATATCATGCAACTTTTTCATGTTGCATTTTGATAGAAATTAAATCTATATCAATGTCGAATTTATTCTTAGTGACACAAAAGCAACCAACTTTTGCACCAGTTCCAGTTCGCAGGCCAAACACTACATGTCGGACGACTGATGGGACAACCGGCGGGATGTCCAGCCGGTTGTCCGGTGGAACCCACTTCCACTGTAAACGTACAGTGAAATGGTGAAATCTGACTCAGCTCCTCAGTTTGGTGAAAATTTTGTTCTATTCTCAATTTGATATCATTTTGATGAAACCATTAGAAAGATAAAAGTTATCCTTTTTCATCAACTTAAAATTTGATAATCAATCTGATGAACCGTTGGAGATGGCCTAAGTGGGTCATTTTTTGTTTGTAAATTATAATAAATATGAGTCATCATTTGTCATCTGTATTTTTTTTTTGGTTACAAGATAGAATATTAGCTATTAGTAAGACCTTGTTTGGGAACAGATTATTTTAATAATTTTTTAACTTTTTGGCTAAAATATGAGATAAATTTTTTTATATATTTGGAATGACTTTTTGATTTTTTTTATGAAAAGATATGTAAAAAAGTAGAGAGAAAAAAGAATTTTTGATTTTTTGTATAGGTTATAAGCTTTTTGATTTTTTTTAATAACTTTTTTATTTTTAGGCTAAAACTATAACTTCCTAAACGAGGCCTAAGAAGGTTATGATACGATATCAATATTTGTCGCTGCTCTATCTGCTTCAACTTCAGATCTCATTGTACCCGTAGGTAGGCTACTTGACAAAGAAAATACAAATCACTCTGTTTGGTTTCAGTTTTTAGAATTTACTTTTCAGAAAATTCTACTTTTTTATTTTTCGTATTTTTTTTGTCTTCATTGAATAACCTTTTTTTTTTAAAAAATTAGACACACTTAACATAAATACACTTAAAAAGTATAATATTTGTGAAAAAAATCTTTAAAAAATTCACCAAATACCAAAAATACAAAAAAAAAATGAAAATTTAATTTAGTACATTTTTTATATTTTTGTGTATTTATTAATTTTTTAAAATATTTTTTCACAAATATTTTACTATTTAGATACATCTAAATAAAGTGCATATAACAAAATTAAAAAATTACTAAAATTTTTAAAAATATTCATTAAAAATAAAAATAAAAAATTTAATTTTCAAAAAATTAAAACTAAACCCACTGAATAGAATTCTATGCAGCACATTATCACAAGAATTATTATTTTGAGTTTAAATCACCCACTTAAATCATAATTGATTATGTTTTGACTAGCATTACAAGATTCTGTCCAAGAAAATGGGAAAATTGAACATAAAATGGGAAGGAGTAAAAACAAACTGGGAGTTTTGCCATTCAAGAAACCACACTATATTATATGTATCTATGTATGTACCCTTGTCCTCCTAATCTGTCATTCTATCTACCCATCATCACATCCACCAATCTTCACCGCACTTTCGTCTCCGACACCGGTCCGGCCGCCCCATTTCCGGCCACCGCCATCTCCTTCTCCGCCTCCTCCCTAAACTTCTTATAAATATCACTCCTATAAAACTTCCTAGTCCTGATTACCAAAAGCACCGAAACAAGCGCTCCTAACACTGTCACCGCGGTGATAATAATGAAAGAAAGCTTAAAACAATCCACCCCAACACAATTCAAGCCCTGCCCGGCCTTCCTGATCGCCCCCTGTCGTTCAGCTTCCTTATCGTACAAATGTCCGGTGACTCTGACATTGAGTATATAAAATCCAATTGGACTCGCCACTGATCCAAAATTGTATAATCTGGAGTAGTATTTGAGTCCAAATACTTCTGATATGATTGCGAACAGCAATGGCCATTGAGCTCCGAAACAGAATCCGATTATGATTGATGCAATGTAGAGGCCGCTGGGGACGTTGAAGGCGATGAGGAGGTGACCGAGGCAAGAGAGGAGGAGGATGAAGGTGAGCATGAGGGGGCGAGGGAACTTGTATTTGGTTAGAAAGATTTCTGAGACGAACCCGGCGACTACTCGGCCGAGGTAATTCCATATGCTAACGAGCGATACGAAAGTACTAATGCTCCGTTTTGGGTATCCGAGCGAAGCTCCGATCTGACCGAGGTTGTCGATGGCTGTTAAAGTTCCTCCGACGCCGCAGATGGTGGCGAAGAAGAGGATCAGCATGTCGATGCTGAAGAGCGCTTGGAGGATTGTGTAGTCATCGCCTCTGTTCGGTGGCTGGAATATGGTTCTCCAACAGGAAACTGAATCAGAATCAGCCTGTTTTTGTGATGTTGGTAGTACTAGTACTTCTTCACCACCATTACTGGTCGCCGATGGTGGCAAAATTGTTTCTGTATTTTGATTTTCGGTTACGATTTTCAAATCAATGGATGGTGGTTGGAGTTGGAGTTGGAGTTGGGCTTCTTTTTTGCTCTTCCAAATACTATACTCTTCTTTTATAACTACCGCGAGCGGTAAACACAGCAGAACGACTACGGCGGCAGCACTGCCACCGTATTCGCTCTGCGTAAAGTTAAACCTTTTCTGGAAAAT